GTCTCACCCAGACGACTGGGAGGTAGGGGAGGTGGTTTGTTTCGGCAAGTCAGGAAAGGGCTCAACAACCGAAAATTTGCAGACGTGAAAATACCAGAACATAATAATTACTGTTATATGGTATCTTTTCTTTAAATAACTATCGTTCGTTTTATCAACTCGACTTCAGAAAATAATATTCATTCGGAATACGTTTGGTTCCTCTTTAGTAACGGCATATTTGATGCTCTACATTGTTCGTTCAGCTGCGGGTACATATTGATCTCGTTTTATTAATGCGTTTCATACTTTCTGGCCCTATATCCTATATTACTACTCCTGAAACAAAGTAAACTTAACCTGCACTACCTGCACTGTAATATCTGGGGTCCGATAGATATAAATCATCGCTGGAAGTCTTTGCTAACTTATATTACGTTTTTTAACATAATTTCTTCATCAGTGCAACTGTTTGCTGACCATTATGTTATTTATTCATAACGCTTTAATTTTTACTTATCATTCTACGATCCAATATGTGCTAAATATAATTTATCATTCATATGATAATTGGCTAATGAAACGTAGATTTACTAAATTCAAGTCAATTAAAATATCTGATTATGCGAGTCTAAAAATTTTCCTTGTGATTGCTTACTTAAAAATGCTCCTCTAGCCAAAGTCATCCCTTTAAAACATCTCAGCCTTTACACCTCTGTTATCCTTTCTTGGAAAACTCAAGTTGACTGCATAACAAGTAACGCTATTCGTATACTCGTTTACTTACGAAAAAAATGTTTATCTAGCCACCACTAATTTGAAACTTCTAATCTAAGAGCGAGGAAGAGAGATAGAGAGAGAGAGAGAGAGAGAAACAAAGAAAATTAGAAAAAAAAACAACAAAAAACTAGAGGGTTTGTCTAAACTCTAGTATGCATGTCCTAGGACCTAGGACCCTTATTTTGAGTCGTTTATTCTCCACATTTGAATTCGTACAATATGTTATTTCACACTTCATTTTTTCCAACTATTCCCACACTGCCAGTAGCAGTTCAGCACATATGACCTTAACTACCCTGAGCTTTTGTTTCGACATAAAGTCACTCGTTTTTTGTTTAAAAAACAACACCTTGAAGGTCGCGGATCGTTTGACTCAAAAAACATCGTCTATGTTTTCGCTCTTACCTGCCTCCATCATTCGACTTTTGAACCAACCGGACGTCACTTGTTAGCAGAAGGCCGCCGTTTATAGGTAGCCACGTCAGGTTTCTAAGTATGTACTCGTTACTCAGGTAAGACTATTTATCAAAATTCGGATGTGCATAATGTCTCATCTTCAGCTAATTGTGTACAAGATCTTAAAGCAATACGTTAGGAAACCGATTCATACGGTTCTTTCAAAAGACCAATGATCTATTTGACTCGCACAGTAGAATAACGAATATGGAAACGGTGTCTTCACTCGACCTGACTCTAAACGACGACCATCTCGAGTCTCTGCCTTTGCGATCGGTGCCTCGATTTCCCCTGATGGGACCCAGACACGCGTGGCCCCTTTTAAGAAGTAATCCTTGTAATCACCGCGGTCTTTATGCAAAGCAGCCGCGGAGCTTGGTGGAGGGCGGAGGTAAGACCGCGATCTCGGCTACAGACACCATACTATACTCCCCTGACGATGTCGTGATAGCGTGTAAGAAGGCAATCAATCGATGTAATCAAAACTGTGGGTACTTGTCGACGGTACGTTTGAGCCACCTTTAGCAGTACGTCTGGGAGCGGGGAGGGGGGGGGAAGCAATGACGCCCCTGTTTCGATTCTTCTGATTGTAGCGCTTTTAACGTAGGCGTTTGGACGAAATGCCCTTAGACGGCGCTGCTGCGATGTGCGGTGACGGGCTTGGAATGGAGGCCGCTATAATCTCAGTATTTATTGCTCGTGGTAAGGAAACTGACAATAGTATAGTCGCTGAGAGAGTGAGAACGGCAGGATGCGTCTTTCGAACGCCCGACCTCCAGCACGCGGTCCATGCCTTCGGCTGTGCTTTGGCTGCGCACGCGCACTCGAGGAGCACGAGATGTCGAAGCGTTGTCAAAGGTATACGAAGCTCGCACTGGAGGCGGAACAACTAAAGCTGGAGCTCCTCCCTGCCGTTCTCACCTTGTCAGTGGCTATGGTGTAATGCTCGTAATTAAGGTATGGTTGTGAGCAGGGATGGGCAAAATACATGCAAATATGTATCGAAATACAAATACAAAATACTTCGTCAAAAATGTATTTAATTACAAATCTAATTACAATTCCAAAAAAGTATTTAAATACAAGATACAAATACAACCAAATGTATTTGGTCTCCTCCAAATACTTTTCCAAATACATTCCTCAAAATCTGCGTCAGCGACTTCAGGGCACCTGCAACGGGTTTCTGGGTATCTCATTGTAATTTTGCATCGCACACTCGGGAGTTAGTGTGCGAGGCTCTAGTAACGTAATAGAAATATAATCACAAAAAAATGTAATCAGCTTGGACGTAATAGGTGAAAAAAGTACAGAGCTTCAAGCAGCTTCTTTTGTCGATTACGTTTTGGTATATACCAACAAAGAACCGAGACGACCAAGACGCGCAGCACTAGCTAGAGAATTTTTTATTGTTGCAACTCGCACCAGTTACAAAAATCTGGACGACCCGCGGCATTCAGAATGTTCCGGGCAAAAGTAGGGAGGGAAATCAGGTTGGAAAGCATCACAAGTTGTCACAGGCACTTAGCCAGTCTGCCTGTGAACGTCGATTTCGTCACTATTCTTGCCCTGGACTAGCACCGTAATCACAAAGTCACAAAACGCTTGTGCTTGGTTGAGAGACACTGCATTCGGCGCAGGACGTAGTTTTCTTCCTGCTCTGGACAGTGACACTAAATTTGAGGGATGTATTTTCGCCCACAAAATTGTATTTAATTACAATTGTATTTGAAATACCCACGTTTTAGTATTTAAATACACACGTCAAATGCATGACCCAATTTGTAATCAAATACAAATGCAAAATACATAAAGTATTTGAAATACTTGTATTTGAAATACTGCCCGCCCCTGGTTGTGAGATATAACAAACAAGTAAGCAGAAATGACAAGTGTCAACACATAAGTTGCTTTACCAGGCTATTCATACAAGGAGGTGACACTTTCTCGGCTGTCAGTGCGAGGCACGACAAGGAGTGTCATGACTCTAAACAAAAGGCGCTAACTGATAGTTGAAGCACCCCATACTCGTTTTCACCTTAAGAACCGAAGTAAAACAAGTACGGCCGGTGGCGGACTGTTCTGGGTTTCCACCAATGAAATGGCGCGATAATGCGTAGACTTCACCACTCTCCGTCGGGAGGTGGTGGGATCCACAATTAGAGACCGAAACCAAACCGAATTCAGCACTGCAGCATCCTCTAGTTGCAAAAAGCGAGAACATACCTCGTTAAATAGCGTTTGGTTCTGATAAACGTGCTTATATATGCACAATTTTGCATCGCTTCTTTAAACTGTTTTCAATAAACATATATTTTTATATCTAACATTGGTTTTACCGTCGGCTTTCTAAAATCATCATGAAAAAAATCAATGTCTGCCAGTTTTACCGTATCAACAGTTTTTAACGGCAACCATGAAGCGCTAAAGCAAAAAGATCAGCTGACATCATCGACATTGCCGCAAACTTGATGAACTGGGATTGAACAGATCTGCTACCAGCCACGAACGTAAGTTTGCATAGTTTATTTTGTCCTAATATACCTTTGTTTACGTTATTGCGTTGACGTTCACGTGTATGTATTGAGTGGGCAATAGGTTTTCTTGTGTGTCGCGGTGAATTTCAATTTTTAGTCTTTAATTCTGTTCTCTTAAGTTCTGTGGTGTGGGGATGGTGGTACAAATCCTGATTATAAGCAGAAACAGTGTGGTTGATGTGAGATACGTTCTTCCAGGACCCCATCAAAGCTTCTGCTTGTTGCCCGAGTGTCCTTGTGTGTGGATGGCGGTAAGAATCCCGATTATAATCCGAAACAACATGGTGGATGTGAGATACGTTTATTGCCAGAGCGACCCTCAAGACATCTGGATGGCAGTTTGTTTGTTTGTGTGATTGTTTATTTTATTTTTGACACAATTGTCAAGGGGGTTTGGAAAAAAAGCGAATACAATCAGCTGACTGGGTCTCAACCCCTGTAACAACACTCAACAGCAGGGCACAAATCGAGATACAGAAAGTGAGTTTACTTTCCCACAAACAGTCTGGAGAACTCTTCACTGCAATAACGAAGCTATCTCAATGAAAGACTGGGCTGAACATAATGATTAGACCTCAAAATGAAGTGGAAGCGACACTGAATACGCATAAGGTAAGCAAATGAAATGTTACGCTCAGGGTCACAACGCAGAACAATGGTCCACTTTCGGCATGCTCGCTCAGGGTCACACTACGTTTTCTTTCCTGAATGAAAACGACCCTTAAAGTGTTATTGTATGCATATATGTTTAGAAAGCGAAAAGCCAAAGTGGCGCCTTACACCTCTGCTGTAGATGGGTAAATTAGCGAGTGCAGTACAACTGTAAACTTTTTTTTTTTGTAGGGTGAATCTTTGTACTGGCTATTCACGGTGCAGTGGAATACATACAGCTGATTTCAAAGACCTCGAGAAGCCATGAACAAGGCTATTACGTAATGAAAGGTAGAATCACGACAACCACATGAAACTGCAGGTTGGGCGTGTATGAAGTCGGGAATCCGATTTGGCAGTATGTGAATGGTCCTTAAAAGGACCGCTCTGTGTTCTGGGGTATGACAAACAAGGTTCTAGCCACTTTCAGGAGGGAACATGTCCTAGGCGGACATTAGTTCACGGTCAATTCCATTCTAAAGGCTGAACACCGAAGATCTCTTCACCCTCGTCCTCGTCGTCAGCTTCGTCGTCGTCTCCACTCTCCTCCTAGTTGTCGCTTGCATCGAGGGGTATGATGACTGGCTCGAGGTTCGACTATGGGAAATCACATTCTCCAAACTTCGCCTCCATTGTTTTCACATGCTCTACACATTCATGCCAATAAGCAGCTGTTGCGTTGTCCACTGCTTCCCTCAAGAGCCGCTCAGCGTCATTGGGCTTGAATGTGATGTTCTTGGAGGCGACCTCTTGCTTGACTCGTGCCCATATCAACTCTATGGAATTTAGTTCGCAATGGTACGGTGGGAGCCTCAACACTGTGTGTTTGGCGTCCGTAGCCATGACGTCAACTTTGTACTTTGTGTAGCGATTCTTCACCGTTGCCACAATGCTCAAAAAGCCTTCTTTCTTTATTGTGGCAGTCCAGTCTAGGTTTTTGGAACAGAGCCACTGCTGGATCTCGCCCTTCTTTGTTGCAGTTGTGGGAACAGCTTCAGCCTTTCTGCTGTGGTACGGCGCATTGTCTATAACAATTACGCTGTTAGGCTTGATGTGGTCCAGCAGATAAGAAACCATGCTTCAAACCTGTTCGAGTTCATTTCATCGTCGTAGTCCCCCTTTTTCTTCTTACGGAACACGTCCAGGCAGCCGGACACGAAGCCAGTGTCACTACCTGCGTGGGTGACAATCACTCTTTCACCTTTTCCAGAAGGAGCCTTTAGCCCGGTCGTCAGTCCAGACATGAAGGCTTGCCTTGCTGACTTAATGGTGCTGTTAGTCCACACGTTGTCAACTGTGAGGCCGGCGTTCACCCAAGTCTCGTCCTGGAAGTAGATCTTGCGGTTCTGGGATCTGTGCTCTCCGATTGCCCTCAAATACCGCCACCTCCCCTCGACGATGTCCTCTCTCTCTCAATTAGGAAGGAGTTGCGATTCCGTTTCTGTTTCTCGAAACCCATGTCCTTGAGCAGGCGATACAGAGTAGTCCCGCAACAGCATGGCAGCACGTCGTCTTCTTGGAGACGAGCGGCGATTTTCTTCAACGTTGGGATCTCCCCCCGACGGAAGAAATTGTGCAGGCAGCTTCTCACGGCCGTCAACGTGCACGCGTCGTGATTTGAAATCCTCTTCTTTTTCTCAGCGAATTTCGGGCGCTTCTTTGAAGGAGATTTCACAGCTCCGTTGGCACGTTTGAAGCCACGCTTGATCTCGTAGACCGAGCTAACACTGATCCCCGTTGCGGCGGCAGTCAGGTTGACGACTTCCACCACATTTTTTTCTTGGTGCTGCCGCCTCATCCAAGAATAAACGTTCAAAACACACTGCCTTGTCTGGCTCGATAGGACATTTCGACTTGCGTGACGTTTGTAGTACACCCGAGGGGAAACGTCTTCAGGAAAGAGTGCTGACAACACGGACCGATCAGCCCAAGTTATTGCAGTCGCCATTTTGGAAGGCGAGCGACAGTGGCTGGCCGTCTGGCTACGAACATCGATTCTCAGAACGTGTGAGGCGTTGAATTACGTGAATACACGCGTACTATGGACGTATATTATTTATCCTATTGAGAATAACAAAGTTATCTAAGCTTAAATAACGCTAGCTTCCCAGAGAGCAAACTTTTATAGGAACTACTTTGCAGAACAGAATGATATGTGCGATGGCATGCGACCAATAAGCATGTGACGAGAGGGACACACCCACTTTTTTCTTAAGATGAAAACGGATATTGTGTGAGCGTTTTATTGGCAGGAACGTCTCGTCGTTCCATTCTTTTGAGCGGCCAGGAGACTGGAGCAAAAACTACAAGCCTCCTTAGGTGACTAGCAGTCCGCACTCGTGGCAAGAATTTATTGTTACTTATTAACTGCTGTAATTATTTTAAATATCCCAGCAAACAACTATATAGATAAGACCCTAACGAGTCTGTATGATGCTCACTGAAGAAAGCACCACAGTTTCAATGTGAAAACCTCCCAAGAAAAGTGTCCCAGAAGTGGGCTCTAAGTCCACTCAACGCGATGTCAAGCATATTACTTCTCTCGTGACCAAGTGCAGGTTCACATTTCTTTAAAGTATGATCCGGATAAACTATCCTTAGTTGACCTTAAAATTTATAACATCGAAATATCAGTTGTATAAAAATTTTTAATCACATTGCACATTGAAATATACCGGGTGCTTTTTTTTTTTTTTTCTCTTGCAGATTTGCTTAAGAAAACGCCATGAAAGCTACACTTATGCGGTATGTGCGAGTGACTTATACGCCCAGGGGGACATTATCTGGGTGGCTAATCTTTGCTATAAGTAGGCTAATTATTAAAATGCACTAATTAACCTTTTAATTAGTAAAAACAGACATGTGGTTCCAATTAGAAGCTTGCCGAGCGTTGTCGAAAACCAGTGAATCAGTCATTTTGAGAAAGACTTTCAGTGCCTGAGAAGCGTAATAGTGCACTAAAGTTACCACTGGTGGAGCAGGTAGAAGGCTAGCGGTTTCAGTAAGGCGCCCGTGCAATTTTTTTTTTTGTCTCTTATCTAGCCCCAGCTTTGAACGTACCTGCTCCACGATTTTTAACTTTAGTGCACTACTACGCTTCAGACGCGCTCAAAGTCTTTCTAAAAATTACAGATTTAGGGGTTTTGGACGACGCTCAGCAAATTTCTAAATGAAAACATGTGTCTGTTTTCACTAATTAAAAAGTTAATTAACGAATTTTATTTAATTAGCCGACTTATCGCAAAGATTATACACACCCATAATGTCCCCCTGGGTGTATAACTCACTCGCACTAACCGCTTCAGTGCAGCTTTCACGGCGTTTTTTTAAACAAATCTGCATTAATAAAAAAAAACAAAAAAAACACAAGGTATATTGGAAGCACTTAAACAATAATTGTAATTCGAGACGCCGTATTGGAAGCAAACTCAAAAGCTTGCAGGATCTGCATCATCAAGGGAAGCGTGCTCTTCGTCAAAAGCCAGTCATATTATATATAGTGCGTCGCAATTTTACCTGGGCTTGCCATTTTTCAGTGCGCAGAAGCCAGAAGAACCCCGGTAGTCCGCCAAGCATGGAATTCTAGCGAACCATATACGTCTACTGAACTTGACTGCGAATGTTTTTCTCTGCAACGTTTCGTTGGGAATCAAACTCAAAATCAAAGAGCTGCGGGGCCGCAGCCCTTTTCCCTGAAACTGTCCCAACACATATTGACGGTACCGCGCTCGCGTCAGAGCACACGATCGTTACGCCGCGACGTATGCAACCCATTTAACCTCGACATTCGGCGGGAGGCGAAATGTTCGGGAACGACAGGGCGTCAGCACTGCTGGTGGCAGGGTGCACAAACGAGCCAAGCGAGCTGTGAAGGCGAGGAAACGAGCGAACGAAAACAGCCAAAATCGAGGGGATGAGGCGCCACCATCAACAGAGGCAGCGTCAGCAGCTACGCATCCAAAAGCAATGAAAGCGAGCGATTTGTTTTAGAGGCGCACTTTTTGGCCCTCCGCGCCCGAGTTACACATGGCAAGGATGGATGCTGCCAAAGCACCCGTGCGCGCACGGTTCCTGCACGCCCGGCTAATGCGTTTCGCCCTCTCTGACACCTTCTCTCTCGAACGGCACAGAGCGCTTCGCACTAGGGCTGCGCGGAACACGAGAGCGAGGCAGTTGAAAACAACGAAGCTCGCGCAGGACAAACGCGCTGAAGAAGCACTCGGAGAAAAGAAATTTGGAGGCCCCGGGAAATTAATCAGTTGAGAAGTAGGCCTAGACAGCGCCGCGAATAAGAGAGGGGTTGCATTCGCACGGGTCTTTCGTGCCACTATGTTGCTCGATTCGGGTATTTTAGCTCGCAAATAAAAACGCGGGCATCGTTTTTTACTGTTGGGGGGCGACGGAAAGCGCGACGGGCAGAGCAGGGTTGAACCGCTCTACGGGGAAAGGGCGAAGGCGTAAAAACAGGCACCCAACGGGGATAAATCAAAGAGGGGCTGGGATCCTTCCCTGGAAATAGAAGGGGGAAAAGGGGGAAAGCAAGAAAAAAAGGAAGAATGACGTCACTCTCACCTCGTGCCGTCTCCGACATTTTATTTGTCCGCCGTAAATCATGGCGCAACCTTGTGGGGTTCAATCGGTGCTCCCTCGAGGGGCGTATAATGGCGAACGATGGAACAGCCACGACAAAAATGTTTCAAAGACAGCTACAGATACTTGGTATTCACTAAAGAACAGCATGATGAGGCGCATGGTACAACAAATTTGCGTCAGGCAACGGATCCCGGGATGCCCGTATTATAGACAGGTGGGCACGAAGCTCTTTCTCCTTCGCAATAAGTGTTTAAATGTGCGTCGAAATGCTGTAAATTTCATAACAGAGTTCAGGGGCTTCCATGTTCTATTTTTTAATATTTTTTTTAATCACGCGAATAAAAAAATAACACCAAAGAACACATATTAAGCATGCCTGATAGATGAGTGCTTCGAATTGCCGCAATAGAGATCACAAGGAGGTTCCATCAGATTTAGGATTAGAGTGAGTCTAGCATCGACGCGTACTTCACAAGTTCTACCCTACTCCATGATACTTGCCTTAGCTTCAACGAATTCACCAAAGCTCGATAGGTGCACAGAGTGTCTAATCATATCGTGACACCTTGAAGCCATGCTGGCTGCTGGACTGCCCAGCATACCTCCCTATTTAGAGTACTTATGGTGGAGAATTTATCGCTTTATTACAGATTCGCCCGAATTCATCCTCAACCTCCTACCCGCAAACGTATAAAAGAAAAAAAAAAGAACATTCGTCTTTCGTTTTTTTCTTTTTTTTTGGGGGGGGGGGGGGCGGGGGGGAGGGGGGGGGGGGGGCGAAACAAATACGCCGGAGGTGGTAAAGTTTCAACAGTTTAAACAAAACTCTTTGGTGGAAACGCCAGCGCTATTATAGTACAAAAGATGCCTGATATGGATCGGAAGAGCTCTAGATAGCGTGGGTAGGGTTTTTTTTTTTCTACTAAGAATTTCCACATCTGCCTATTCCATACGAGCAAATTAGTCTCGGTCCCATGCGCAAATAAAATTTGATGAATGGAAAAAAAAAATTCGACAATTTCAACTGCAAAGAAAGGAGCGAGGGGCGTTTTTTTTTATTGTTTTGTTTTGTTTTTTGTGCGCTTAGGCTTGATCGGGGTTGTATTTGTTCCAATCGATCACGCAATTTTTTTTTTATTTCATTTTGCCGCGAGCCAGGTGATTATCCGATTAGTCCGCTCGACAGTCTACTTAACCTGACGTCCAGTTTAGCTCCCCGCGCAAAATAAGGCGCCAGGGTTAATTCCTGTGGTTGCTCAAATCCGTGCGACTGTTAGAACAAATTCTCTTTTACAAATTTTCAAACAGCTCGTCTTCTTTGTAACTAAAATGATGTGGAAAATACAAATAATGTAGAGCGTGTCAGTGAGACTTCTTCTCTTGAAAATGCCATGGATGGCTACAAACATTACTTTATGTACATCATGTGACTAAACATCCATTCCCACTGGATATTTACCCACCATATGAACGATACCAAAATT